TGCCACTTAGTAACTCTGTTCCTTCATTTTATGAGTATTTGCATCTGTCTCTTATACACATCTAGATGTGTATAAGAGACAGCGGCCTAGTAGCTTCAGTAGTACCTAGGCTAGTCTAGGCCTACGACTGGTTTACTGAGGTCTAACACTAAGAGCCTCAAGATTTAGATATAAACGACTAGTGGTAGTAGTAGGCCTGGGCAGTATCCTTTACTGAAATTATGCTTGCTTTCATAGTGCTAAATTAGGTTTTATATCTAAATTTTAAGGCACAAGGGTAGAGGCAAACCAGCAGGGCAATTTTACCTGATTTTATAATATTTCTATTAAAATTGAAAAATGCACAAGATAATTATGCACATATTGAAATTTTATATGTTTTAAAAAATAGCCTTCTACAACATCTTCAATACGTATAATTTCCAGTGCGATAATCAATTCAAACATATCATAATCTGTTATATAGTCAGAAAAATATCTCTGAAATAACCTACATGATAAGCCTGTGTGTGTATTTGTCATACACTGCAGCATATATCACTACAATTCTTAAAAATTTCCTTGTAGAATATTTTTTTTATACCACACAGATTAAACAAAGGTACATCGCAACACATTAAAAAACAGTAGCTCATTCAATTTAATTTTAATTTTCCAGTTTTAATAAGTATTAGGGATTGCCACTGGGCCTATACTTAAATAAATTTCAGTAATTATTTTAAAGGTAAGCAACCAGTTGAATTATCAGGAATTTAGCTAATAATACAAAAATTATTCCTATCAGTGAAACAATTCATAAAAATATAAATATAAAATTGTGTAGACAATTTATGTCAACAAATATATACATTGGCGTATGTGTATTTATATATAGCTTACATGACATAATTATGTTATAAAATAAAAATGTAAGAATGTTACGCCAATTTGGGAAACCATAATTAATCTACCAGACTATGTTATTGTTTTTAGGGACCCTTGCCACTGAGCATATACTATCGAAGCACTTTCACAAACAACCCATTTACCTTTTTGACCTACAGTACCTGCCTCCATTTTTATGATAATAACCTTTTTTAGTAGTTTGTCGAATTAACACCAAAACCTTTGGTCATAGATCATTATTTTCAGCTGCTTTTCTTCGGAATTCCTTGCCCAAACATATTACTGAATCACCATCAGTTGCTGTTTTAACACAAAACTTAAGACGCACCTTTTTATTATAAAATGTTAAGCGTATTTGACTTTTACTTCCGTTTAGTTGAAATTGGCGCTATATAAGTTATTATTCTTACTATTCTTATTATTTTATTAAAATTATTATTATTATTATTATTATTATTAAATAACATACAATATTCTAAAAAAGTATAAGGAATTTGGTCAATATTAAGATTTAAAAAAAATATTCATATCTGTGAAACCATTCAGAATAAAATATCAAATTTTGTTCGCAATTCAATCAATATATACTGTGTATTGGCTTTTATGTATTAATATAATATGTACATGATATAATTTTGTTATAAATAGGGATTAAACTATAATAAGGCAATTTGGGAAACCATAATTTATCTACCAGACAATACTATTATTATGTCATTGAACTTTACATTGCCTGTAATGTAATAATTTATTTTTGACCTTTAGTTTCTGTAAATTGCTCCTGGAATTAACAATCACTGCTACAGTAACAATTTTTTATTCATATTAAAATAGAAAGTTTAGTTCTGAGTCAACAACCTTGACATAAAAAATGTTATTCAACACTTGATGACAAATAAACACCCTTCCTCCACCCCCTATTTTTTTATAAAGTACTTTTTTTTCCTGGATTGAGCCTCTTTGAGATCAGACCATTGTAATAAATGTAAACAATGGTATTGTTTGCTAATACAGTTGAATAGCTATGATAGCTTTTGCATGCTTCGTCAAACTCAAATCTCTATACTCTAGAGTTTTTTTCTGTATCACACTATCCAAATTACTGATTATGTCAGTCACTCTTGCTAGTATTCCTGAAAAAATAGTAGTATAAAATGAAATATAGAACTGTTTATAGAAAGGGTCAAGCCTGTGTTTTGATTTTGATTTTCACTTCTAGTTTACAATATTATCACCAAGTTTTACAAATACATAATTTTATTTTTTATTTTATTTCAATTCTCATTCAACAGCGGGTGTCCCGCCACTTACAGAATGGAAACAAAAAACAGATACAAATAAACAGATATAATTAATTTAAATAGTCACTAAAGATAACAAAACTTACTCTAGTGTAAGCCTAGGTAAAATACATTTGATCTTCTTTTTATATACTTCTACACTATTATACAATACATCTATGGAATTATCTTCTTTGCTAAGATTAATCTAGGTAATCTATTGATTAAACCATTTTTTTTTGTAACATTGACTCTGGCAAAAGAAATTGTGAAAAATTCAGTAAAGGTATTACGGCAC